ATAAGGAAAGAGGACAAATTGAAAGCATCTAAAAATCTAAAAAGGAATACGAATGGTAGGGTGAGAATTGCAAAGGTAAGATTTTTGAAACTTTCATTTTTCCTTTTCTTCATTCACAATCACAACACATCTAAATTATTCTAATTTTTTTTCTTTAATAGGATTTAAGATATAAAAATGTAACCACTTCGATCAAAAAGATTCGAGAAGATTCACATATTAGTTACCAACATAATCATCCTAATCCTTTTTTTTTTATTAATAAAAAGTCGTCCTAATCCTAAAACATGGATGGCCTTCCAAAGATGTGTTTGTGGCTTGAGAGAGTGCTTGCCTTGATAGTTGATACACAGTAGTTGATATGCTTCCAACACGCTAATGTCTATTAAATCCATATTTATAGGTGGTAGATCGTTTCTAACCAAACAAATGAAACATTTACGATTCTAACCCTTTTTCTTTTTCTGGACAATTGTTAATTTCATTAATTAAAACTCGGACATACACAGAAAAAACATCTTCTTTGATTGTTATAACAAAAAATCGACATCGAATTTGAGACAAAGTTTGAATGCGTCGATAGAAAATTCATGTATAACCGGAATATTGACAATTGGTCACTTTAAAGTGTGACATTGAATTTCAATCCTCATCTCTGGAATACATCGAAGTGAAATTGATTGCTTCTTCTGACCCCGGGGAGACCGCTAGGAAAGAAGACAAAATAATGTGTATGTTAGGAGTTATCCTCGGTATTGCGATTGAGCAAGGGCCATGCCATCTTTCAAAGAAAGAGGACGTGATAAAAAAAAATTTCTTCCTGGAGGAAGGTGGAAACAATCTCTTCTGGAGAGAGAAATAGGGTGATAAAGATCTATGCATGCTCGATATGAAGGAAGTTTGAATACAGCTCATGGACCTCAACGTACGGTAGATGATGAAAGGATGGATGATCTCTCTCTGGCCAAGAACTGCATCAATGCAATATATTCATGGGTTTGATGGGCTGATAGAGTTTGTGAGATGGGTTAGGATATATCTTTTGAACACATCAAAGAAGATGAGCCAGACCCATTAAAGAATAATGTTTGGATACGAATGTGAGAGGTGGTTGGTAGGAGAAGCAAAACATTTGTCGGCACAGTGAACTTGAGGCAGCGAAGTAGATCTCGACGGAAAGAGAGAAAGAGGATGACCTTGGCAATCTCAACGCTAGCAGATGCGAAGGAAGAAAGAGTGGACACAGTGATTGAGAAGGAGGAGTTGGAAACGGTGCTTGAGAAGGAGGAACTAGCTTCCGCAAGTTTGAGAATGACGACCGCATGCGGCTTCTTTGGCTGCCTGAAGAGACTCATGTGTCGCCGATTGTGGAGTAGTATGTTGAAACGATCTTGTTA